GCAGCGACGCTTGAATTTTGAGCTGGAGCGGCCAGATATTATGTCCCATGTTATTAATCAAGAAGAAAACGTTGAGGAAGGCATGACACATGGTGAGATTAATTCAACGTTCATGGTATTAACTACAGCCGGGAGTGAGACTACTGCCACCACCCTAGCTGGTACACTAAACTACTTAGTGAACAACACAGACAAGCTTAACGCCCTAGTGCGGGAGATACGCAGCAGTTTCAGGAGTGAACATGAGATAACGCTTGATACTCTGCGGGGGCTTCGCTTTCTAAACGCCGTCATAAGCGAGGGCTTGCGTCTATGCCCAGCGATCCCATGGATTCTCCCCAGGCAGGTGCCCGCAGGCGGCGACACTGTATGTGGAGTATGGCTTCCAAGCGGTGTAAGTGCTTAGTCAAAACAAATATATATCTCTCTGCCTTTTTTGGTTCACCGCCTGTATTATATCTAACAAATGAGCCAGACTTCCGTATCTATTCAGGCATACACAATGTATCGAGATCCATTAAATTTCCACGATCCAGTGTCTTTTCTCCCTGAACGATGGCTTCCAGAAGCAAGTTCGGATGCGCAATCTGTGTTCTATAACGACCGGCGACATGCAGTGCAACCATTCAGCGTCGGACCACGGAGCTGTATGGGCCAGCATATTGCATGGGCAGAGATGCGTCTAATTCTGTCCAGACTGCTGTGGACATTTGACTTGGAAGCTATTGAAGGAAACAAGGTCCAATGGGAAGACTTAAGAACCTTCTTGCTGGTTGAAAAGCAACCAATCATGATAAAGATATCACCCAGAGCAATGGATTCAGTTCAGGAGTAATTTAAATATATAGTGTATTAACAGTATTACCGAAAACCTCTACCTATATCATCTTCTTTTCCGCATTCTGATAAAGATGAGATATTGCTGGACCTTCCCCGGCAAAAGTAGATTTGTCTATAGCTGTGGGTTGCACAGGGCGTTGTGCAATTACGGTATAGATACTAATTGCGGTCGAAATGCAATATATTCATAAGTCTCTGTCTATCTAAGAAGGAGAAAACAAGTCAAGGTGGGAGGCTCGATATCGCAGTATAAATATCGTGGCCGAAAGGTGACCACGTGACTCGCTCAGTGCTCCTTGGTGTGCTTGGCGGTAGGATTCCAACAATAGCACTAAGAGCGCGATGGACACCATAGATACATACATCACAAGTAATCTTGAGTTTTGTTCTCGCAGAACCTCCAGAATTCTTCAGCTCTCCCAGATCCTCCGTCTTCCCGCGGCTTGGTAGCTTGGGTTAGATCCTTCCTCATGTCCCCAATTCTGCCCCATGGCACTACATAGTTTGGGCTATTCTCAACCTTGACATCGGCGGAAATCCCAGCGTACAGCTCTGTGAGTGCTGCAAGCTCGGGTTTGTGAAGAAGCGGCCACGCTAGATAAGCCATCCATGGCGTGTGGCGGAAAAGATTGGTGGAGGCAGCACCCGGGTTGAGGGCCACGCTGACGATGCCGTTAGAACCTACCCTCCGTGCAAACTCAGACGACAAGAACCAGTTGCCCGTCTTGGAGTTGACGTAGTTGCGGGTCTTGTCCTTGGGCGGCTGCTGGACCTCGTGCATAGGGAAGCCTCCAGGGGGAGAGGAGAGCTCCACGATTTGGCTACAAAGCCAGACCACACGTGTGCATCCCGGAGGACTCTCCGCCGCGCCTTTCTCTAGCAATGGCAAGAGAAGAGTGGTGAATAGAAAGGGGCCAAGGCAGTTTGTAGCAAGCTGCAGTTCGATGCCTTGGGCAGAGAGACTACCCAGGGGTGGCTGCGACACACCAGCGTTATTCCACAAAACATGCAGTTTAGACTCCATAGATTTGAACACCTCGACAGAAGCTTTAATGCTGGAGAGGTCATCAAGATTGAGCTGCAGGAACTCCAGGCTGCCACCCTGGGGCACCTCATGCCGTATATTTCTAATCGCTAAACGTGCCTTTTCCTCGGAGCGCCCCGCAATGTAGACGCGACCCTTTTTGCGGTAGAGCATCTTTGCTAGCTGTTGGCCGATGCCGGATGAGCCGCCGGTGATGATGAAGACCTTGCCATCCTGGGATTCTACATCACCTTCTGTAAAGTTTGGATAGGGAGGGAAGAATTGTGACCACTGAGCACCCATGTTGTATGCACGATGGTACGACTATTGCCGAACGCGTTTAGTCGGTGAGGGTTGTGTCATTGACTGTCCGGAAGAGTTACTTACTCTGCAAAGACAAAGGTCGGCGGAAGAAATAAGCGGCACCACAAAGATAGGTTGGGTGTGCACCTCAGCAAAAGGTAAGACGCCGAGCCACGTGATAACCTGTCAAACTTGCTCACCAATCTATGCTTGTAAAGTAGGTGTCTGGGTATCTGCACCTACCCAAGGTCCTCTCCACGACAGTTATCTTGTCGGTACCTCTAGCACTACCACGATTTGTTTGTAAGGTAAAACAAGAAAGTTATAACAGCAAAAAAACATTAAAACATTCAACGTCTCAAAAAATAAGAAGCTACATAAGGTTTTATGTTAACACAAACCATTGACCAGGCTCGCGTATGTATTTATTCGTTTACTTCACGCCGCACGGACAGTGGGTCAGAGCGGGGTAAACAGAGGCTGCCTTCGTAACCTAACTGTGGGTTGCACAGGGTTGTGCAATGATCTAGATCATCGGCTTCAAATTCAATATATTCATAAGTGTCTGTTATCTCAGAAGAAGAAAAGAAATCACGGTGGGAGGCACGATATCGTCGTATAAATATCGTGGCTAGAAGGTGACCACGTTACGAGCTCTGTGCTTCCTATTGTGCTTGGCGGCATTCCAACACTAACAGAAGTCATGTTACCTGGGGCAATATATGCTCCAGACAAGATTGCCACAGCAACTCCATTTGACAGCCTCGATATATGCCGTCACGTCCTTGGATAGGCTGTTGTCATTCCTGGTGTTCTCCACTATATCGCAAAATGCGCCGAGGTAGCGGCCAATCCCGGCACGGCAAATATGCTTCGCCTCCTCACTTGCCGAGAGCTCCCTCATAACCATCCACACTGCATTGAAGACGTAATCTTGACCGGCTTTCTTGGCCGCGGCGCGCTCCTTATCCCACGAGTCCAGGTCATCTGTGAGCCCGAGAACAATATATCCCGGCTTAGCGAGCTCCATACATTGAGAGCATTCATCCTCTGCAATGGTGAGTGCCATACCGAATGTGAGTATAAAAGGGGAATTTTATTAAAAACTACTACTTACAAGGGTATTTAAAAACTATATAATATTATAAAGCTAGTAATATCCCTTAGGCTATGTATTATATAGCTAGTAAACTCTTTACTATAGGGAAATAGCAAAGCATAAGTAAGGAAGGAGAAGACTAAATCTTTAAAATGCCAGAGATTAAGACTATTTATAAAAGAGTGCTAGCTTATTGCCAGAACGCTACGAACAAATTAGAAGTCTTGTCTATTACTCTGCTTTATTAGAACCTAAGTCGTGACACATACAGCTGGGCTGTTGGTGATATGATTCATCTTGAGCTCCATACTTAGCTTCTTCTGTGTTCTCTGTGACCTCTTTTCTTGTATTTCTTCCTGCAATCTCAGCTCTTTAAAACTCTCAAGCTCGGAAGCGGTTCGTATGGGTGTGAGAATGGGATCATAAAGAGACACCGCCTGCCACATGCCGCCATATTCCGACTCCGCCCCGTTTATGTCCTTCACAAAATAGTCTAATGCCTCAAGACTAGGTAAGCTAACCCACCCCATCAAATCATTTCGTCGTTTGTTGGATCCATTTCCAGCTGCCAACGGATCGTAATGTGCAAACATATCATAGAGTCTGCTTGCAGAGATCTCGTTCAGCGAGCTGCCTCGCAGTAGCACCTCTGCCGTGAAAGGATGGAACTCCTTTGGTTTCGGACGCGTTTTGTGAAAAAATTTCCCAGTTCCCATATATCTTCCGTGTGCTTTCCCGGGCGACCATTTTCGGCGGTTGGTGAACTGAATATTCAGGGGAGCATCATTTTGGTAAAATAGAAGGCCGACCAGGAGCGCCGTCATTCGCAAGGTATCCATTCCTGAACTGTGCTTTTTATGAATCGATCCGATCGCGTGCCGATCATCTCCAAATCCAAGAGCAATTAAAGAGTCGCGCATAGTAGGTGCTCTGTCAGCTTGTGATATGTCCTTGACAAGTTCTTGCAAGTCAACCCACGACGTGAAGTATTCTGTGATAAGCGGGTAAGACGTTGAGATGGAGCGGAATTCGAACCCAAGATCAAACCCAATGAGAACTAACTGCGCTGGATGATCACGATCACCGCTGCTTAGTTCTCTTTGAGCGGCTAACGTGGTTTTAAAAGAGTCCAAAATATTCACCAAAGTGGGTTCCACTTCGTCTAGAGGTACCGTCTGGCTGTCATCCGCATGGGATCTTTCTCTTCTACCCTGCTCTCTGCCGGAAATTTTAACACAGTGCGTAGATATACGCAGCCCGCTACGCAGCTGACTGGTTGTGTTGGGACATTGATCGAAATTAGAACGGTCGAATGGATATACAAGCGACAGTGCAATCTCGGCAACTAGCGCACTCTGGTCCCCCCATGGTTCCGCATCAATGGCCACGAAGCCCGTTTTACCCATGCAGATTTGAAGAGATTCCAAGTCAGGGATGTTGTTTTGCCAGAGTTTCGCCCAGTGTCTGGTCCTGAAAAAGTTGGGAGTTCTGTGATATCGCATTTTGCCGCCAGGTTTCCATCGGGTTGAATGTATAACTGCGGAGGATATGATGTTCAGACAAGGTGTGGGGAGTATGTGAGGATTTTCAGGCACAAATGTGGGTCTGACTGAGTCACGTGTATGGGGATCATACAACCCACTTGACTATCAACAGAGCCCTCTAGTATAGAGTGAATGCTCCGTCATGATGTGTGTTTAAAGGGAGTTATAAATAGTCAAAACATAAAAGAATTGGTCGGAGCAGGACTCGAACACGGCGCTTCCCGAAGGAAACAGGCGCTGCTGTGCATCTTCTGACCAGAGCCCGTGCGGGGTAGTTATAGCGGGATTCCCCACAGAACCTGACAAGCCTGCGCCATAAACACTCGGCCATCCAACCTATTTGTTGGATTGAAGTTCAGTTACTATCTCCTATAGTCTGTAATTCAGTGGGGTATCGTAGAGAGATATAGAAATTGATGATTTCGACGGGGCCAAGGGGTTTCATGGTCCAAATGAACTGACAGAGCGACACAAGTCTGATGTACGACGTGACTACTCCAGATGATCCACTTGCAAAGCAACCCACACCTTCATGCAGCTACCATTAGCAGATGTGGGTGCAGGCCCGCCGTCCCTTCAGAGCTATCTGTTGATTGGATTCTCGAAGCTCAGCTAAGTTTGCTACTAGGATGTAGCCATGTCTCAAAGTGGATTCCCAAAACGAGGCTCACGGTGCCTCTGTACACACACCCGACGAACTACTCACCTACGGTGTACACATACACACTCACTGTTTGTCATTATTCCTGCATTTGAGGATAGCCGGCAACATAGTATTCTCAGCATATATGATACCTAACTGAGTGATATCTTCCGCGGAGCGCCGGAACAGTACGCAAGCGCTTCGCGATAATCGATGCGAGTCTCGCATACTACGCTGATAGCGATCCACGTGTGGTGTTATGGGACCAGTTACGTGATACGCATTCACTCCTTCAGGGCCTAACACTCTCCACCATGTGGGAATCATCATCACACAACACACACAGTAATTGGGACCTCATTTGGTGCACCCTAGCCATGGAGTTCCAGTGTAGATCATCTCATTCATTCCCCTCATTTCTCTCTCTTTCTCTCGTGCTCTGTCAGAAGAAAATATGAGCCTATGTAAGGGTCATAACTACACATGAAAAGTGGCCTCTGGCTTCGCTTTTTCTTGTGTGACATTCTCTGCTGTACGGTCCATCACATGTGGCCTGGCTTTCTCATCTTCCTATGTGCGTTATCAAACAGAAAAGTCTTACCCAAAGCGCTAAATGTTCACATTGAAGCCTCTATTAGTATATGTAGAGTTTTATTCTCCGGAATGTTTAATTTTGTGTCGTGTGTACTGGAAGAGAAACCTTCAATCTAGCTCTTTACTTGCAGTTCATTCTCCGCAGCCTTTCTGTCACAGGAAGCATTCCACAACGATGCACTCAATATCACCGAAAACACACAATGCGACCGGAATTATTCAACATCGTCGGAAGCATTCAAATTCAACAGAATCGTACGACCGGAAGCAGTCAATATCGTCAAAATTGAACGATGCCGAGGAATGCGCCCCGCACGAGGAATTCAACATCACCGGAAACGGACGATATCGCCGGAATCCTACGATATCGTCAGAATCAATGGAAT